CTTTAAGTAAAATGTCACCGCATCGACGAGTTTTAACGGAAATCTTCAACGCCAGATTTCATTAAAATCATTCGGATGTCATCGACCTGTTACAATCTTATTTACGGCAGCGTGTAGAGTCGTCACTATGCAACGACCGCGAGATAAGCAAATATACCAGAGCCGTTTATAGGCAACGGCTCAGTAAATACATTCAAGCAGCAACAGATACGAACGCAACAATGGTACAGCGACATAAAAACGGTATTCTCGATGTGGTCCGTACTGAGACGTAACCAGGATGGTTTGGGGCAAATAATTTGTTGCAAGAGTGTTCAGTTGAAAGTCCTGCTTTGAAGAGAAGACTTTAAGGATTTATATTTGGAGAGTGTAATTCAGTGAGATTGTTATAGTTCCTGTGTTAAAAACCGTTGCCAGGATACGGCGAATGGAGACTGTAATAGACTGAGGACATTAGTCTGTGTGTGTCAGTGATCTGTAAAGTGCAGTCACTACTCATGACCGTATAAGTGGTCAGTAAATCGAGTCAGCAACTTCGAACCCCGTCTATTGACACACTCTTAACAACTGACACACGTGTCTGGAGGAACTGAGGAAAAACATGAAAACCTCAGTCATGATAATCAGCATCATGGCGAGATTTGAATACCGGACTTCCCGACCACGAAGCAGGAAGAGGCAAAGAAGAGACAGAAAGTGGATATGAGGAAGAGATGACGGCGAATGATTGAAAAGTGAAGAAGAGAACAAGGTTATGGGGAACATAATGTAGGAGGTCAGGACGAAGGGTAAGGAGGTGAATGATAAGAGGGAGGTTCAGTGAGTTCGACCTCTCATTCCAAATAGTATTGCTGAATGGACGTGCTTTATCACGAGGACTGTCCGGTGCCTTGCTATGAGGTAATCTGCGCAGTTGCTTACTGCGCACGCAGGAGCAGACCTAGACTCTCGTACCGGAGCACACAGCATTTACTCATTTATTTTTAGCGTCTTTGAATTCTGAATCCTTCAGACCGATATAAATAGATAGGTTTAATGCTTTAAGATTTTAAAGTAAATAATTTACATTTGTATATCATTATAAGAAATTGTTGTGTCGCCAGATGTAGACATATTCAATATAAATAGATCTCGGGGACATATTAAAAATGTTAAGTAATTTAAGGCTTAAAACTGAATTTCTTACATTACCCGCTGCTAAATTTCCCGCGCGTAATATTAAAGAGTCGCACTGGCGCCATGTTTCTTTAAATTATTGACAGTATGTAATTTACAACGTGTTGGTGTGTATGATCTACCTCCCTACGAAATTTCTAACACCAGTGACTCCTCAATTATCTCTGCCAAACTGAAAGCCAAATATAGATTGAATATACACTCGTTTCTATCAAACTTAAATGTTACAAAGGAAAAATCTGTTAACAAAATTATATATTTTTCAAGAATGATTACCAGGAATCTTACTGGCGTGGCGGGTGGCCGGTGCATAAGGCTGACAATCTCATTGCCGTCTGTGAGCCAATTGTACAGAAAAGCGTAGGAGCCTCGACGTCTCACAACCCTCTGGGCCTCCACGGCCTGTTGCAGGGATAGCTTCACCTTGACATTTTTACCTTTCTTTTGTTATCATACATAATTTCAGGATTATATAATATCATTATATGTAGCTAATATTGCTCCCACCTCAAAACTTCGTGCGTCTGTCATGTTGGTGTTACTAATTCAATGAAATCAAAAAGTACTAGTTTCTGGCAGACTGCAATGGCTAATGTGTTTTCCAACCATGATATGTATACAGTGGCCGTCTTGTAGTGCACTCAGTTTCATCTGTTACTTCATGACATGTTTCGGCAACATAGTGCCATCATCAGGTACCCTAATTACGTTAATCTATTGCATTGCTTGCCCTCATATGTCTTCACAACACCATTTAAAAGTATTTAAAAAGTGAGTATTTGTCAACTATAATAAATTTACACTCACTGAAACTTGTTAAGATTATTCATCTTACGTGTCTTAATTAAAACTTGCGTGTGGTTCATTCACTATGGGGTCGTTTTTCTTATTTTCTGTGTAAACCGTGTCTTGTGATGTGTGTTCCCTTCTTAGCTGCGAGTGTTGTAATGTTGGATGTGTGTGTGTCTTCGTATTCCATATTTCATCCAAATCTGTCTGTCTGATACCTAATTGAAGCATTTGGACAGACACGTCAGTTCCGTTCTCGTCAAGCAAGGAATACAAAACGACGTAACACAAAGTGTTCCTCGTTCCCACGACTGTGACGAATGTGTATTTACAAGCATGGCGTCGTTATTGAGAAAGATAATAGAGCATGCGCCAAAAAGGACAGTACTGAAACTCGTGCATCTCGAAAGCGCATGTGCGTTTGTCGATGCGGCATAGCTCCAGCCGCACGTGTTCCCAGCAGTGAAAAGGAAGTTGTGTTGTGCAGTTTTTGGAAATGCGTCTCTCGACGGAGGAAAAAGTATTCATAGTTGAGTATTATTTCCGCTCATACGGAAGTGGTCGCCAGACAACTCGCTTCCTTGGTTTTGAGCGGCCAGATGTTATCGTCCAGAAACCGCTACACAGTACACGTGTGACGATATGGTGTGCCGTCTCAGCACACGGTATATTAGGCCCCTATTTCATTGAGGATGAGGAAGGCAATGCTCTTACCGTCACCCAAGAACGCTACAGGGACATGGTGAATGGACCATTTCTTCAGGATTTGAGAAGGTTCTGTCATGCAAGGGGCCTTCACATGAATAGACAGTGGTATCAACAGGACGTCTTTTCATTTCAGTACTGTAATTTTTGGCGCATACTGTATTAGAAACATTTCGTGTACTCCTGATTCTATAAAACTCCGTGATTTTAGCCCTCAAGCGAACTATATCGACCGAGCGACCGCCGTTTGTCGGCGAAGTTTAGTGCCAACTTTTGCGGATAGAGGATGTCGCGTGGTCAGCACAACGAATCCCCATGGCCATTAATTTCGGTTTTCTAGACCGGAGCAGCTATTTCCTTGAAATAGCTCCTCAATTATCATCACGAGGCTGAGTGGACCCCGTTCCAGACCCACTACTTCTCAGAAAAAAAAACTGGTAGCGCCGGGAATCGAACCCTGACCACTAGACTATAGAGGCGGTCTCCTGATTCTATACCATAACGAAATTTATTTTGGGCTTTGAGAGAAAATTGCAGTTTATTTTAGATTCAAGATAATTTCTGTGAGCAATAGTCGGTCTCCGAGGATCATGCATTTCAGTATCTGTGGTGACCTGGAACAATTTATTACTTGTATGCCATTGGTGTCTCTAATTTTCCTTGGCCTGTAGATGCGTAGAGAATTCAGTTGTCTGCAGTTGTCTATCTGGACTTTCTGACCTTTCCTCTTCTTGGTACGAGTAGTGCATTATCGAGCCTAAGTTCATGAAGGCCAATTTCATTCGCGTTAGTTGTCAATTCACCACCGTTCCGTGCTCATTTATCTCCGAACCCAGAAGTAGGGGATAGCCCTGAGAAGGCAGCTCATTATCATTTTGACTCCATTTGCAAGTTATTCTCTGTAGAACTGCGGTAACGGTGAAGTTACAAAGTAGCATAACATAAACTGTAACGCGTATCTTATGTTCCCTCCGCTTTTCTTTTGAGCGAGTAATTTCTTATACGCACATTTACTTTCCTTTACTTTCCCTTCTAACGATAAGTTGCTTTTGGCATCGCGATGCGTGGCAAACGCGATGTAACACAGAGAAATGTAGCTACGATTAACCTACAACTGTACAGCGCGTCATCTGAAGCTTCAGCTGGCCGCGCCATAGCTCAAGCGGTTAGTCGCTGGCTTCCCACCGAGGCGGCCTGGGTTCGATCCCAGGTCTGGTTAAGTGGGATTTGTGGTGAACAAAGTGGCGCTGGGGCAGGTTTTCTCCGAGTACTTCGGTTTCTCCTGCCAGTCTTCATTTCACCAAGTTCTACATCATCATAATCACCCGGGGCAGGTACAATAGGCCAATCAGTCGCCGCAGTAACGAGTGGACCCAGCTGGACTCCACCCCCCCCCCCCCTAGCGAATAAAAAGAAAAGCTTCAGTTGTGGCGTTGGTCCGCTCATGTGGGACCACTGAACTGCGCAAGGCAGCCAACTTATGGAAAACTACAGTGTTGTCAAGTTTCATTCTTCTCAAAGAGTGTTTCAGTAAACAAAGTGAATAAAATTAAATTCATAGTTTCCATAAATATAATAAATAACAAGTATTTTATTTATATTAAAACGTGATTTACTACTTTGTATAAAAATAATTTAATTTAAATTCAGGTTCGATTCAGAGAATATTCGCATTCAAAAATGTTATTGTAATGAGTGATGTAAATGGAAAATATATCCAAAAGTTATTAAATAAAAAATACACCTTAAAATTTATGAATGTATTTTACGTTGTCTTCTGACTCTTTTAAGATGTGCAAAGTGCCGATATCGTTAAATTAGAATTTAAGCTAGTTTTGTCTAAGATTGTATCTCCTATGCATCCTTAAGCTTGGGACCACATGTAGGCCAGCACTTGGCTGGTCACAGAGTGAGGGAGCTAGTAGTTTTGGTCAGGGGTGGGCTCTGAGCTACGTGTCTTAAACGAAGTCATATCTCTGTCAGTCCTACTCTGGCTCTGTCCCTTTCATCCTGTACTCATATCACACCAGGATACAGCTGCAGTTCTGAGCGCACAGTTGCCATATGCCAATTATTCCACTTGCATGATTTGCGGCCTCCAAGTCTCTGAAGGCTCACATTCTGTCACCGTGTAATTGTTTGATATGTGGATACCAAAGTTTCGGAGAAACAAACTGCCTACATCTTCAGGACTAGTTATAATTATATATTTTTAGAAAATAACAACTTATTCATTTGAAGAGAAACTAATTTATTATTTCTGAAGAATTTAGCATTACACTAATTACGTCACATTATATTCATCGTCATATCATCGGTACCAGAACTACTTCCCCTACTCGTTTTCACTTGGCACATCTCTTCACAAATTTGAGCCACATTCCGCCTGTGGGCGCCAGTACCAGGGCTCTCGAATCGAACTCGAGGGGCACCGACGTCTTCTCTGAACACTGCACCTCGTACTTTGATAAGATACTGATGAGGCCCACTTTGGTCTGCATCAGCCCAAACCTCATTCCTGAAAAGGTCAAGACGTGTGGCTTTTGAAACACATCCCAAGTAACACAATTGTAGGGACCTTGTCTTTCTAGAACACAGAACACTGGGAAGAACACGTGTGACTTACCTCAAACCGACATGAAATCTATATTAACTTTACAAAATACACTAGAACTTCTCTGGGACCCAGGGGTGAAAGCGACAGGAGCGTGTAGCTAACCACTCACCTCCATCTAGTGCCGAAGTTAAGAATGGCGGAGCTATGCCTCAACTCCCCCATACGTTTTCATGGCGTGTTGCTTAATTACGTAATTAAGTTCTGGGATAACTTTTTTTTCCCTTGGCACTACAGCCCCAGTGGGCCTAGGCCTACCTCCATGAACTTCTCCGTTCACTTCGGGTTTTCTAGATCTTACACATTCGGTAGGACTCCTTGGGCGGGTGATCAGCTCGTCGCAAGGCATCTACCTGTATACAAACACAGAAAAACGCACACACACAAACTAAACTTCCATGCCCTGAGAGGGATTCGAACCCACGATGCCGGTTTCCAAGCGAGCGAAGACAGTACATGCCTTAGACCGCTCGGTTACCGTGACCGGCCTTGGATAACTTTACCCGTATTACATTTCCAAGCAAAATTGCAGATATATATACACTTTTTTTTTATTTATCATTTATTAGCAGTCTGAATTTGCATTCTATGAGCTAATTTGCTGTCATGTACAATAATTATTCTAATACATACACTTCCTTTAACATTAAATATCTCCAAATTTTATATTGATTTTTTTATAAATAGGTCGTCGTAATTGTGAAATATTTTTAAGTGGAGAATAATGATTGCAGGAAATCATACAAACGTAAAAGGTTGAGTTAGGACTACAGGCTTCCACGTATTAAATTAAATTCGATGGCAGTTTAAATGTCTTACTGTTCACCGTATGTGAATCAACGAACAGAGACACAGCTCGTGAAGAAAGCGGTCTTCTGGGATTTGGCACCATGTATATGTGGTGTTAACCGACGTTTCGGAGGAACGTATCGCCTCCATCTTCAGGGTAGAAGATGGAAGCGATACGTTCCTCCGAAACCTCGGTTAACACCACATATACACGGTGCCAAATCCCAGAAGACTGCTTTCTTCATAGTCACCGCCGTGAAAGCCTCAAATCTTACAGAGACACAGCTCACCTATGCATATCCTGGGCCCCTCCCCAAACGGGAGGTAACTGAACTTGGGCCTCTTCTTCTTTTCCTCCTCGCTGAAGCGTTCTGGGTCGAACCTCTCCGGGTCAGGGTAGTACTTGGGGTCGTGATGGAGCGCCAGAACAGGAATCAGAACTTTAGTTCCCTTCTCCACCGTTACGTCAGTTCCGCGAAGTTTGGTAGTCTTTGCGCACTGTCTGGTGAGTACAATGGCAGGTGGGTATTTACGCAGGGTTTCTGCGGGAACAAAGCCACAATAATGTGATAGTTTGTGTTTGATACAACAATGCCATTAACATTATAAAAGGAACGTCTTTTAAAGGATAACATTCGATCTTTCACAAAAAAAAATGGCGTTGTATTAGATAAATTGCATAGTTTTTACGTATACAATTTTTATGTAACTACCTTATGAAAATATTTGTGTTTTAAGTAATAAATTCCCACGATTTTGGTAGAGAGGCACGCGATAGCGTAGTTGGTTAAGGCATAGTGCTAAAAGCCGGCAAGTCGCAGGCTCTGTTCTCAATGAGGTCAGTTGATTTTCCAATTAACTTAATCCTTCCAGCCGCACTATATGATCCTGGGGTTGACTCAGCCTCTAACAGAAATGAGTACCAGAAATATTCCTGGGGGTAAAGAGCGGCCTACCGGAGCTTAAGTTAACAATTTCATCGCCATCTGTGAGCCGATTGTCTAGAAAATGTAGGAACCTCGACGTCTCGCAACCGTATGGGCCTTCAAGGCCTGTTACAGCCATAACTTTATCTTTTACCTTTTCGATTTTGGAAGATTCTATGGGATGAAATTTTATGCTGTGGCCATCTTGGTTATGATAGCGTAGAGTACGGAATGTACCTATCGAGGATACGGGAGAAGCTGCTGTCTCCTTCAACATTCAGAGCAGAAGTGAAGAAGAAAACAACAAGTTCTGCCGAATCGTTGACAGTCAGATGTAAGGCAACGGCTTCATAACCCAGAAGATTGCTCTCCGAATGAAAGCAACAAGTAGGAGGATAAACAGAATATTCAAACTATATGCTGAAAATTTGCGACGACTTTTTTGCTTTATCTTTACCCGAGGGCTATGCACATTTATAGGACGCTACTTCGCACTTGGATATGTAAATAGAATCTACCGGTTCAAACTGCTTACCGTCCACAACTTTCTCCAAATATTTCATCTCGAAAACGGATTCGTAAGTAATATTCCCTTCATGTTTCTGCAGCACTGTATCTATCTCAGCCCGGAGACGCTCCTGGATATCTGGATTCAGTGCCAGTTCATAAAGGCAGAACGTCATTGTGGTTGACGACGTCTCGAAGCCAGCGAGAAAGAACACAAACGCCTGGGCTGCTATTACGTTCATTGTTATTTCTGCAAAGCATCAAAATTCCATTGTAACATACTTACTTACTTACTTACTTACTTATGGAGCTGAGCCCTTCTTGAGAAGGAAAATCTGCACATACTCAAGAATTCCCAGCATTTTGTGGAACCCGAAGGTTCATTGCCCTGTTCACAACAGCCCTCCACTGGTCCCTATCCTGAGCGAGATCTATCCAATCCATACCATCCCATCCTATCTCTCTAAGATCAATTTTAATATTGCCCACCCATCTATGTGTTGGTCTTCCCAGTGGTCTCTTTCCTTCTGGCTTTCCCACCAATATGCTATATGCATTCCTCTTCTCCCCCATTCGTCCTACATGCCCTGCCCACCTCATCTTCCTTGACTTGATCGTTCTGATTATATCCATTCTAACATACGCTGATTATACTTATGAATATAACGGAGCCATAATATTGGGAAAAATCAGATTACACAGATTTAAGAAGACCGCAGTGTCTTACACCCCCTCGTTGGTGTCTCCACCTTAACGTGGTGAGGGGGTTTGAGTATGCCAAGGACCCTGAGAGCTATACCAGCGGTAGCGTAGCTACTGGCAGGGCCTCCCTTGCTGGACAGGTCAAAGGGTAGGCATCAGACGAAGAGAGACACCAAAAACTGATGCCGGAAGCAGCGTCATCAGCAGCGACTTGAAGCCCAGAGCAAATGATGCTCGAGATGGTTCAAGTTCGTATAGCAACAGGCGTGACCAGAGTGGTTTGAACGGCTGCTGTACTGCGATGTGGAAAGCAAATGGAAAAACTACCACATTATCACTTTTCCTGGATAGTCTCTTTCCAAAAACAGAAGATCGCATTAAGTGGAGGAACTGTTTTGGAAGAGACTGTGGACCTGTCGTCTGACAGATTACTGATGGATGGCGTGTCTTACAAATTCATCATTTCATGTTCCCTCTTAATCACTGCACAACCTGTAATGGAGGTAGCACCCATCTCTACAAGTCTTTACAGTTTTATTAGCAGGAAAGTAAGCAAATATTTATTCAGCTGTAGGATTTCAGGTTTTCACGGCGGTGACTATGAAGAATGCCGTCTTCTGGGCTGTGGCGCCGTGCAGAATTTGTGTAAACCGACGTTTCGGAGGAACGTATCGCCTCTATCTTCATGGTAGAAAACCCGCGAGTGAGGACCCAGCGTGAGTAGTCTGCTAGCCACCTGCTCACGCTGGTTCCTCGCTCGCTGATTTTTCTACCCTGAAGATGGAAGCGATACGTTCCTCCGAAACGTCGGTTCACAGAAGTTCTACACGACGCCACATCCCAGAAGACGGCATTATTCGTATATGTAGATGGCTATAGAATCTAGGATATCATTAAAATACAAGTCTTGAATTCACATGTGAAAATTATTAACCACTTAGCCTAATCCTTCGAAGGTATGAGAGAGATGTCAGCTATTCACCATAAAATTATAAAATTGGATATTATCCATTCTGTTAGGTATGTTTAGATTATATGAGATTACGAGAGATTAGCTGTTTCTAGAGGGCGTAACTGAATAAGATCCAGTACCCTTTTTTACGTCTAATGACGGAAGCAGGGCCAGTTTCCGAAACGTCATAAAATTCATATATATCGAAGACAATAGACAACGTCCAAAATAATAATTTCATAATATTTAAGCGATGTAGTTCACTTTATGTAATAATTAATAATCTCTCCCAACAAAATTTCAGTGCCAATCTGTGAGATTATGATAACCGTAGGTTTACATGTAGTTACTAATTTTGCCTGTAGGTGGCTCTACGATCAGTAATTTCTCGTCTGCTACAGTAATTTTATTGAAAAATGTTAATTTGGAAGAACTTGAAATCAACAACTTGTATGATGTTCGATATCGGGTGATACGATTAGATTGTGAGTATGCGAGTGTCACGACTTCAGAGCCGGAGTTGGTTGACATCTAGCGTTCAGTCTGTCGATCTACCACCTTATGGCTCTGCAACACCTGCGGGCCATGGCCAAGTTTTCAGTTTCTTATTCTACGCAAGGTCGATAGGACACCTTGGACGGGGGATCAGCCCGTCACCTGCACACAGAACGACACAAACACAGAATAAACGCACACAGACATCCATGCTCCGAGTGGGATTCGAACTAAAGATCCCAGTGTTGAGAAAGCGAAGACAATTCATGCCTTAGACCGCGGGGCCACTGTGATACGCTGTCACTCGATCAAGACATAAAATACTTTCATCTATGCAGACCTGAAGTGCATCAGAGTGAGAATTTCACACGCAAAATGGAGTTGAACATTTAAATGTAATTTATTTTTGGAGTTTTAGTTCCAACATTCAGAAGGGGTCGCCCATAGCTCAAGCGGTTAGTCGCTGGCTTCCAACCGCGGCGGCCCGGTTTCGATCCGGGGTCTGGTCAAGTGGGATTTGTGGTGGACAAAGTGGCGCTGGGGCAGGTTTTCTCCGAGTACTTCGGTTTCCCCTGCCAATCTTCATTCCACCAACTGCTCCACAATCACCCTCACCTATCATCTGGGGCTGGTACAATAGGCCAGAAGTGGCCGCAGCACAAGGGACTTAGTCCCACCCCACTAGCAATAAAGAAAATACTACATTCAGAAAGTGAGATAATGGTTACGCTTACCAAATGGAGCGTTAGTTTTCATGTCGTCTATATCCAGGTTTCCGAGAGCGCTGTCTTCTCCTTCAGGCACCTCCAGTGTTTTATTTTTCAGTTGTATCATGAGATCCATGAAATCATTCCTCTTGACTCCGTTCGTTTCGCGGTATTCCACTGTGTTCTTCACCATGTTGATGAAATAGTTGCTGATATCGTCTGGAGGTGTTTCGAGCCTCAACCGAAGCGCCAATGACGGAAAAGCAAATTGTACAATTCGGGCGAGTCTTCTCATCAAAGTAGGTTCCAAAATTTTTCTCCCCCATTTACGGAAGTCAGCATCGGGGTTCTTCAGACAGTTGCACTGAATGCCAAACGCGCAGGAAGCTATGATATCTGTGCTGTATCTTGCGAGGACATCCTTTACCTCAACTGTTTCTCCCTTATGGGCAAGTGGCTCAAGACAAAGTTGGAGTTCCCTTCCACAGTCTACCAGAGTTCCAAACATCATCTTCATCTTCCCGGATGTGAACGTTGGAGTCAGTTTGACCCTTAGATTTTTCCATTTTGATCCAGACAAAGTAACCAAGTGACCCTGTAAGGGATCCCTCTCTTCATTTACTAGCATTCCGCGGCTGTGAAACTTATCAAAATCTTGAACCAAAACAACCTTCATAATTTCGGGGTCCCGCAGGAGTAGCGTTGGACTAGCAAAATTGTATATTCCTCCAAATTTCTGTCCATCAAACTCTTTGTAAAGTATAGTGACTGCTTGCCGAACACTCTTTCCTCTGAATATTGCGTCACCAAGATCCCCGAATGGTGGCTTCGGTTTCAAAGAGGGCACACCACGCTTCTGCCAGTATGAGAACGCTGCTTTGAAGTACACATAGATGGCAGTCAGGGCAATGGCAAAGAGGACACTCAATTGGAGAAGATACGTGTCTAACATTCTAATTCAAGGTCAAATCGGTCTGTATCTAGAAGAAAATCCACCTGTGAAATAGAGAATTAAGAACTAAAGACATTTGAAAATAAACATATTACCATTACCTTCATATTGGACTTAAGGTAGCAGTGTGGGACGTTCTCAAGCCTTCAGTGGTTGCTGTTTTTGAAATGATACACCGGAGTTGTTACGGTAGGGTCAAGAATTTGTTCTGCTCAGTAATGTCCATACCGGTTCAAGGGCCCACCCAGCCTCCTACCCGATACGAACCGGGGTCCTTTCCCCGGGGATAAAGCGGCAGGGGATTGAAGCTGACCACTTCCATGTAACTAGTGCCGAAATCAAGAAAACGTGGATCTGTACATCCACTCGCCCATATCTCCTTTCCTTGCTTAGTGTTTACTTAGTTAAGCACAGGGACAACGTTACCTTACAGCGGGATCGCTAGAGAACTCCCCACAAATCGTCCAGCCGCCCAGAAGGAAGGCGGCCCCACATGGTTAAAGCGACACAAGAGAAATTCTCAGAACCTCGCACTGTACAGTGATGATAAGGCAGGCCTGTCCAAGATGTACCTTGAGAGTGTCTTACCTGCAACAGCTATCTATGACTATGTAACGCCTCTACCTACACCGCGTGTTTTCAATCAGCCACTCGTATCAAGATTGTGAGCGCAGCGCGTTTAAATACCGTATAGATATCGCTGTGAACCCAGTAACAATATGGCTCTTCAACGGCTAGCTTTACGTCATAGGAATGCATGTGCGGTTGTTTTTATGAGAGCAGTGACACAGCAGCTTCAAACTGTAATACCTTCTGAACAGGAGGGAGCCGGAATAGCGACTGGCTACAGGCTGGACGGTCAAAGGATCTTAGTTCGAGTGCCGGTATGTGCAATGTTTTTTCCTCCGCAAGTGGTGCAGACCCGTTCTGGGGCCCACCCAGCCTCCAATGAAATGGGTACCAGAGTTATTTCCCTAGGATAAAGCGGCCGGGGCTTGAAGCTGCCGAGGTTAAGATCAAACGGATGTATACGTCAATTGTCCCATGCGTCTTCATTGCGTAGTGGTCAGTGTTAAGCACAGGGACAAGTTTCCTGTTTATCAGTAACAGGGGTAAAGCGGCGAGAGCGGCATAGGGCCGCAACTGAAACTTGCCTTCAGTAAACATATAACTCACCTGACCCCGTGAATACAGAACGCAAACTCATGTAAACTTATTTCTAATAATTTCCGTACTTTCAACTCAGAAACCTCTCGTAAGCAGTTATTAAGATCACCACATTCTCGTAAGAAACGCCTTGAAATCTGGCAGACAGGTACCAACGTTTCGGAGGATGTCGCCGTCCCTATCTTCAGGAAAGTAGAAATTTTGTTTAATTCTACCCTCAAGATGGACAAACCAAGTTCCTACCTGCACAGATGAGCCATGCAGTGGCTCCGGTATGACGTCATGGGCTTCCAGCCCCTTGATCGAGGTTCTTAAACTTATCCTCCACCCCATCCCCATGCGGGATTGGGTCACGTGGTGTTGCCCTCTCCCCTCCTTTCTACCCCTGGGAGCCTTGCTTGGAAGTTAATTCGAGTTCGGAGTTCAGTTCTGGTTATGGATCCATAGGGCCTTGCTCGCGGCGCCGAGCCAGCCGGAGCGACTGTCAAATTCCTGTTCGGCTGGGAGTCCAAATTTGGTTTCGGCAAGTACTGGGCTGGTTCGCGGCCGACGAGATCGCCCGCGGTCGCCCGTCGTTGGGTTTGTAGGACGGCGGCGACTCGTACCAGTTTGGTTAAATCTGTTTTTATAATTTATATTGTGTATTTAATTTAGACTCAGCCTGTGGCCCGGCTATAATGTAGTAGTTATGTTTTCAAGCAACCAAGGCAAATTGTTGCGCCAGTAATATGGGCCATTCTGCCCGAGTTAGATGCCGCTGTGTGCGAGCATGTAAATGTGCAGTTAGTTCAGTTCTGTTTAATTTCTGTTGTGTATATTAAATTCTGTTATTTGTTAATATATTGATTGCCATCATTTGTAACTACATTTACCACGCTGCTAGCTTGGATCCCTTACTCTAACTTAGGGAGCGTGCGAGCACAGCACGAGAGCCGTATGACGGAGCAACGTTTCCCCCTCCGATTGAGGAAAGGTAGACGGAGCCGAAAGGTGCCAGAGAGAGACGGTACAAATGGTATATATAGTCCCAGAGCGGACAGACGGCACAAGTGGTAGCAGAGGAAGCGGCTCAAGTGGTAGCAGAGCGATCGATTTTCACTTAGGACCTTTGGAACGCTAATTGTTAATAGGCCCCTAGGCTGTGCCTGGGCCGATGGATTGTAAATAACCTGTCATAGGCTCTGTGTATGTTTACGTATATTGTATTTATATTTGTTCTTGTTGTGTTCCATGCTTAGTCAAAATGCCACGCGCGTGGATCCATGAATTGTCCAAGCAGCAGCTGGAGAGTTTAGCAAGTCAACTAGGTGTATCGACGGAAGGAACGCTGGACGACTTGAGGAAGCGGGTGAGAGATAAGTGGACCACGATCGAGCCTTACCTGCCTCCACAGGCGTCAGCTAAGTCAATTGAAACTCTGAACCCCATTCAACCGATTACTGATCCCACAAGTCATTTGGGTACTCCCGTAAACAAGATGAAGATCAAAGTAGTGACTGACTTAATTGCTGCCATTCCCCCCTTGATAGATATGGACCCTGAACAGATACTTAAATTTTTAATTCAAGTAAATCAGATAATTGAATTAAAATTATTACCTGACACAGAATTTATGGCGTTGTTGATTACCCGAACATCGGGTAGACTTATGCATATTTTAGGAACGCATTTGGGATCCACAGATACTTGGGGGGTGGTTCAGGCAGAAATTATCTCAACATTTCTCCCACCCCGTATTAAAGAACAATTTCTGGTATCTTACGTCCTCGACAGATTTCAATCTCCTACAGAAGACTTGACAGAGTACATCATGTCGGTCGTATCAGCGGCCAAAATATTGGGTTTTCTGGGCACTGAGGTACAATTAGTCCACCGCATAGTGCAAAATTTGCACCCCAAAATTAAATCGTATTGTGTATTTCAAAACCGGCCGGAGTCGATTGCAAGTTTATTTTCCCTAGCGACAACGGTCGCAGAAGCAGTGGCGGTTGAGGACCAGCGTCGATTGACGACTGGGTCCTTTCCGCGAGAGGGTGATCCCAGGCCGTTTGTGAACGCCACGGTTCAAACCAAGGGTTCACCGGCAAAAACCGAGCTTAAGAATGCATGCTGGGCTTGTGGAAAAACAGGCCATTTCCAAAGCGCATGCCCTTCCAAGACGCGTCCGACTTCACGGGCCGGACGTTCGGGAAACGCCAGAGGCGCTCGGCAGTGAAGAGTTCATTCCGGGCGCCCAGCGTGTCACAGCCTCGGGAAACTTGCTATCGTTATGACTCGGGTTTATTGACCCCATGTGTAACATTGAGTATTGGGGCGTATTGGTTACCCGCCGTATTCGACTCTGGATCTTCACGGTCGTTCATAAGGCGGGATGTTTTACACAATATTAAGGAGTTAGGGCTGCCATGTACGCTGCAACCCGTACAGGAGCGCTGTGTCATGGCGAACGGAGAGCCCTGTGTTATCGCTGAGAAAGCGGTTTTGGGTATTAAGATTGGCACTTTTTCTTGGAAATGGCGTTTTTCTATCTTACGCGATAGTCCCATCCCGTGTATCTTGGGCGTGGACTTTATGTCGCACGCCAAGGTGCAACTTGACTTCGTGGCTAGGAAATATAGTTTCCGGTTCTGCCCCGAGAAAGATTTTGATTTTGAGCCTTTTGAGTTACGTCTAGGGATGTCGCTGAAATTTCCATCTTCCGTCAAGCCTGTCGCGGCATTGTTGTGCGGACCCTCTGTAGCTGGTTCGGAGGAGCCTGTTGATATTGTTGAATTGTTGCAAGAGTTTCCGGGCCTGTTTTCAGACAGGCTAGGTACAGTCAAGGGTATGACCTGCCATCTTGATCTCAGCGACAATATCCCTGTACGCTCGAGGCCCTACCAGTGTTCGCCTCCGCGATTAAAATTGCTGCGGGAAATAGTCCAGGATCTGTTGGACAAAGGAGTGGTCCGGAAAAGCTATTCTCAATACGCCAGTCCGGCGTTTTTAGTTCCGAAGCCATCAGGAGGTCAGCGAATGGTGATTGATTATCGCCTCCTAAACAAGAAAATCGTGTTTGACGCTTTTCCTATGCCAAACGTGGAGAGTGCCTTTGCTCATTTTGAGAAGGCGACGATTTTTTCTGTACTGGACCTAAATTCTGCATATTACCAGATTCCCCTGTCGGCCAAGAGCCGAAAGGCAACGGCCTTTTGCACCCCCTTTGGGTTGTTCGAGTTTACAAAATTGCCCATGGGGATTAGCGTCGGATGCCAGGTGCTGTCTCGAGTTGTCGACACCTTATTCGGGGACCTCAAGTGCAAGTTCGTATATAATTTTATGGATGACTTGGTGGTTTATTCCCGATCTCGCGAGGAGCACCTGGATCACCTGAGGGAAGTTTTCGCTAGGTTGCAGAAGGCAGGGTTTACTTTGAATAAGAATAAGCTCCGCTTGGCGCAACGAGAAATCCCGTTTTTGGGTCATCTGCTGTCAGCTGAAGGAATCCGGATTTTACCGGAGAGGGTAGAGGCCATTACATCGTTTCCTCCACCAAAAAACCTGAAGGCGGTTCGGAGATTCTTAGGAATGGCCGGATTTTATGGCCGGTTCATCCCGCGTTTCTCTCACATTGCCGAACCGCTGCATGCACTTAAGCGTAAAAACGCTCGTTTCGAATGGGATGATCCCCAACAGGCGGCGTTTCTCCAGTTGAAGGAAGCCTTAGCGACTCCACCAGTATTGCAGATCCCAGATTTTTCTCTGAAATTTTCCCTTGTTTGCGACGCTAGTGACGTCGCCATCTCGGCCGTTCTCCAGCAAGGGAACGGCGAGCAGTGGGCGCCAG